TGAAGTTCAGAGCCTGAACCTTTGTTCTGGGGTCACTGTTGTATTTTGCAGCAGTAACTTCATTCCACTTGGATTTACTTTTTTCACTCTAGCTCTTCCTTTATGGGGTGGGAGCATCTGCCTAAATTCATAAACTGTGTCTATTTTTTTTTCTTTCTATTTTTCTAATACTACTTCTAAGGTTTTATTTGCTCTACTTAAATACCAAGGGTTATTTTCCCATCCTTAGAAGATTTATTATCCTGTTTTTCATTTTCTGCTCTGAGTATGTGTTTGACACATCTTTAGTTATTCGAATAGAAGCCTGACACTTTGGGAAACAGAAAATGTTTGCCTGCATTACGTTTCACATTATAAATGGTTCTTGTTCTGTACTGTGCAAACAGGCTCCTTGAATAATTTTACGGTATGCTGTTGAGAACTGCGGTAAACCATTTGCTAGTAAATCAGCATTTCTTACAGCAAACTCTTTATGCTTTGTCAGCCATTGCATCTAGGGAATAAAATCTAATAAAAAAAAATCAAAAGATGAAGCAGTTATGACTGAGCTCCCTGAAAAATTTATACTGTTTTGAGTACCTGGGATTTTTTGGGTATTGTCCAGTACTAAAGCTTTGAGAGGTACAACAGAACATGGAAAACATCTGCCTTTTTGCTGTATTTCTGGTATTTGTAATAAAATATACTGACCAGTTACAGTTTTCCCTTCAGTTCTGGACTTTTGAGGAAGGTTCAGCTTCTGAAAGCTGCGGCTGAGAAAAGTTTCATCTTTGTTTTCAGATTGTGATGAAATTTCAGTATTGTTAACCCTGAGTACTTTAAAAGAATAAAAAAATAATTAAACATCCCTCCTCCTCAATATTAAAGACCATGAGGAGTATCTTAAATGTTGGAGGAGTTTTATTTGCTTTCTGGTCTTGGCTTTTTGGGTGCAATCATATCCTGCTTTTCCACTTGTCTTCATCAATTAATAGATGTAGCAGGTCTTTCTATATTGTTGTTTTTACATTTTTTAATGGCAGCTGAATTATATTGATTCTAGCAACAGTTAATATCAAGTGACTCGCCACCTCCTTTATTTTTATAGCAGTATTGTGATTCTGTGATGTAAGTCTTTATTGTATTGCTGAAATTTGCTTATCATTTTGAAAGGGAAGGCTGGTGCTGGAAGTAGCAAGATGTGAAACCCCCAGAAAAACAAAATGAGGAGTTAAAGGTGGGGGTCTATCAGAAGAAGGCAGGATTCTGAACTATTATCCTAAGGGGCTTTTTTTCTGTTTTTAAACAAATGTTTTGAAAAGTCCCATGGATTGGGACACCATTGGATGCAAAGTACTTAAAATGATCCTGGCTGCTGGCAGCCGATTTCCCTCAGACCTCCAGTGTTGCAGGTACCTGACAAACCAATGTCCTATGAGCCACAGTTATTCTTGACATTTCTTAAGGCCAAGACAAGGAACAGTGGATGGATGCTCAGAGCAAGCAGTGCTATTCATAAAAACATGGATTCTTTTGATCTTTGCTGTGCAACTTACCTTTTTGATTGAGTTGCTTGTCTGAGTTTGCGTTTCTGGACCAGTACAGGGCTGGTAGAGCCTTATGCACCTTCGAGTGAATTTGTTCTCAGTTTTGCTGGAGGCTGACAGTGCCTTAACCTCGGGTCTCAGTTTTTCAACACCATTTCCCTTGCCCAGTCTTCTTTCAGAGTATATACACTTTACAGAAAAATGGGAGGTTTTAAATGGGGAGAAAGGATCTTTTTCTGATGCACAGGAGTTTGTTTTATAATAAAGTATCTGAGCTTCCAGGCAGATCCTTGAGGTGTCTGCTTGCTGGTTCCAGCTTTCGAAGCTGGAATAGAATGGTGGAAGGACAGAAATGCATGGTGTCTGTAGGTACAATCATGTTGAAGGCTTTTGCTTTCTGTCTTCGTCCCACAGATCCTATTTAGCTCTAATTTTCTGTGTAGAAATAGTTGTTCCTTTTGACTAAATTAAAGGAAAAACTGACTTTATAAAATTTGGTTAAGTATTACACTTTTTTGAATACTACTTGACAAAGAACTGTAAATTTGTATTTTCTCATGCTTTTTATCACCAAATGAGCTTGAGAAGTCTGGTACCTGGTTTGATATCACATTTTTAACTGGGACAGCAGAAGATCAATTCTGAGCATTTCCTCCCATTATTAAGTTTCCTAATGTCTGTTATCATCATGGCATGGCAACCTAGTCCTGCCTGTGGTGTTGATTGTCCGTCAAGGACCACTGCCAGGGAGCTCGTATCTGTACTGAGCCTTAGCACAAGCAAGGAATCTTACTCATAATCTGAATGGTTTGGGCAGTGGCCATAAATTCAGCTCTGTGTGCAGCCAGGCTTCTGGTGAGCATCACAGACAGAAAGCACTCAGGTTGGAGGGATTACCATGAGCACACGTTGCTGTCTGCGTAGGGTCTGAGTATGGGAATGCTGTCTCTGTGCCAGCTGTTTGATACTGAAACTTCATCTCTTTGCTTAAAGGCTTTGTGATAAGGTGTGGTTTTCTTCTAATGCTCAATGTCCCTTGATACAGGGAAATGTGCCTGATCTGAAAAACAAGAGCTAGATATCTAGATTTGAATACTACTGAAATGTGGGAAATATGCAAGATATTTAACACTAAGCTTTGGTTTGGTCTATTTCTACTGCAGTCAGTTATTAAAACAAAAACCTAAACAAATCATGGCAAGACGGAGTTCATTAGTTCACAAAATGGAGTTGGAAATGTTAACAAATACATTTGTGGTGTCCCAGTATGATTGCTCTGTTTCTCTATTTGCAGGGCTTCTGTATTGCAGCCTCACTTAATCCAAAGCACAGCATGACTCCTTCCTAGAACTAGTCCCTTCTATAATATCACTCTCTCCTCTTAAATCCCTTCAATCAGCTTTCTGTAAAATAGAAAATAGGTTTTATTACTTATTAAAAGTTTTATAATGGAGGCCTTGCTTATCTCCCCTACCTTCTGTCACTGACAGACTTGCATCAACAACTGCTAGATATTTGTCCAGAAATACAGATTGAAGCACTGTGGACTTTGTGCTCTCAGTAACTTTACTCTACAACCATAACAACCCTAGGAGAAGCTTCAGAAAACCCAAACAAGTAGTGGAACCAATCCCATCACCACAAGTTTAAATGTTGTAGATCCCTATGGCAACTCAAAAATATTAAATGTGTGTGATGTGTTGTTTTTCATTTTTTATTACCTAGGTAAATCTATGGTGAAGATGTTGTGCTATTTCAGCTGCAGATTAATAGTCACCCTGTGACGTTTCTGTGGTTGTGCTGTAGATTTTCCAGATCATTGCACAGTGTTAAGCTGGTATATGAAAGTCATTTGAAACACTCAAAATGAAATAACTCAAGGATCAGGTACTATACACGAGCTAATAGGAGTCTGGGCCAGAGTCAACAGCCCAGAACCCTGCTACAAATACAGCACCACTGTGTCACAGCCCATCTAGGCTCTTCATTAGCCATTTCTCCACACCTTTCACTGAGCAATTGAATTCTTGACAACTCCGGGTGCTTTACAGATTTCCATCTACATCCATGTACCTACTTGGAGAGTCCCCTGAATGCCAGCCCGTGCATGTTTTCACTTTCCTGATAGCTTTCCCTTTCTGGGCACAGATGAAGCCACACAAGTTGCAATCTTTCCAAACTGCTGTTGCAACATAGACTTCAAGAGTTTCCTGTCTGATGATACCTGCGCTGCTGTCTTCAGCCAAAGATTACGTCATGTGTTTGTCACGTTAAAGTTAGTTGGCCTACAACATCTATGACTTACTTTACAGAGGTTCAGTTTCCTCACACTTCTTGTAATGCCCACTTTTCCATTTGGCACAAACAATTCATTGCTCAGGCACGGTACTTTCTAGCTTTATTTTTATTTTCTGTGAATTTCAACATGTTACGGGTATAAAGTGAGCATTAGGAACAGAATAGCGTGAGCTCTGCCCCTTCTCTAGATAAAAACAAAAACCAAAACAAAACCCTTAATGTGAAAGGAAGTCAAACGTGCGCTACGTGAACTTGTTAAACACATTTATTGAGTTCTTGACAGTAACCAAACACAGTGAATGACCATTATAAACAAGAAAAAAGGCATTGCTTTTACTTGGTCAGCTCCTGTTTTATCTGTAAAGAAAAGATATCTCTTTCCACCACCAATTTACAGAATTGAATTTATTTGTCCCAATAATGGATTCAGCAGGGAAAATGGCAATTTTAAACTGAGATATTTCAACTGCTTTCTGCTTCTGAGCCCAGCTCCTAGTAATGGTGGACCATAAAGTGGAGTTAAAGTTACACTAGCTTTAAGTGCATTTGCAATTGCCATTAACTCACTTAAATTGGCTGCAAACAAATAAATGAAGTAAAAAAAAAAAAAAGAAAGAAAAAGAAAAAAGAAAATTAAAAACACAAATAATGCAGCCATAAGTAGTAGAGGCTTATTATTTCAGAAAGGAAAAAAATAAATCAAAGCAAGTTTACTAAATTAATTTGTTAAACACATTTATTGAGTTGTTAATAGTAACCAACACAACGTATGACCTGCTGTAAAACAAGAAACGGAAAATGGATCAATTCTGATTTTGGCAACTCCTACTACAGATATGTGACAAAGAGGGAAATATTTCAATTTCCTTTATACTCTGCAGTGATATATTTACAATACCTATCTCTCAAAGTCTGTCCCCTTTTTAATTAAATGAACAGAAAGATCATAACCTAGAAATAAGTTTCCTCTACAGTCGTCTTGTTCTGTCTTGTCAGTATCCATGAATGAGAGTGAAATAATGAGAGCTTTCCAAGGATTACTTGGCACACAGAACACAACTCCACTTTGATGCTGTACCGAGCCACCTTTTTTCTTTTTTTTCTTTTTTTTTTTTTTTTAATTTGAAGGATGGGGGAAAAGAGAGAGAATTTCATATATACAAAGGCTGAAAAGTCTTTTTTTTGTGAAGCTAAATTAGTTCAGGAAAACTGTATCAAAATTGTAATCACATTTACTGTAATACTGTCTTTTTACTTTTTTTTAATTACCACCGATCATATGAATGAATTTTTAGTTGAGTTTCCAACATGGCAGCTCTTTTCCTACAGCACGTTTGCACGTGCTGTCGCGAACCCAAAGAGAGTGAGCTTGGGTGCATTCTAGATTATGTCAATTCACAGTAGCAGCATTCCACTGAGGTTATGGGTTCTGCCTGCTCTGTCTTACTTACTTGAGGAGCCATTCATTTACTGAAAGGAAAGAGAAACAAAACAGAAACAGTTATGCTTCAATAAACTCCAAACACAAAACTGGCTGGATTTAATACTGTATTAGGCACTTAAACAAAATGTCTTGAAAAAGTCAGGAGGTTCAGTTTCCTCCTCTTTATGGAAAAGTCTGAGTGACTGTTTCTATGAAGTATTGCAACTCGGTCATCAGCCTTGTTACTGAAAATGTGCTTTCTTTTCCACCCTTCAGTATTACTTCCTCATAACTATCATATTATTGGTAAGAAGGCACTTTAATGCCATTATCACAGGTAATATAACTGTGTGTGCATAGGCTAAAAGGTGCATAAAGACACATTACAGCTCCGTTGTGACCCCCAGCTGTGGCAGTGTGACGCTCTACCAGGAGGAGAGACTGGTTCATTTGTTCACTACCCATTGTGCAATACAAAACTTTCCAGTTTGGGTGTTTGCTATGGTGGTGCGCCTCCAGAGTTAAAGTAATTCTTTTGTTTGAGGTTAGCTGTCATCAAGACTAGCTCATTCCACTTTTTCTTTTAAAGGTGGATAATAAAGAGCAAAATGCACATTGTAAGGTGAGAAGACTTTAAAATGAGGCTAGAAAACCGAAGGCTTGTCCTATCTGCTTTTAAAAACACATTAGATGTCTCAGATTGTTTTCTGTGATGTTTTTCCTGCATGTTTCTGGGCAAGTTTCCTCGTTCATGTCAAATATGTAATGTTTGACTTGCACCATTAGTCCCCCAGATCTGGAGTTTCATCTGTTTTTATTTGTATGCTTTGTTACGCAGTTGGGTTTCTCAAAGAAAAGAGCTCAGTGTAAGCATAGAAAGGGTTATTCTGGAGGTAGAACGTACCTCTATACTGTAGTTTCTGTGCTCTATTGTTTGGACAATCTTTTCCCTGTAAACTAAAGTTGATATTAGTTCGGATACATCGATTGTTGAGAGGCTGGACTGGTCTGAAATTGTCGCTCATGCTCAGAAATATCTGTGATGGCTGATTCTGGCTTAGCAGTCGTAAAGAATGCATCTATACAAAATACAAAACAAGCGTTTTTAGTGCTGGTCTCTCCAGTAAGTAAACAACACACAACACTATTAAACAGACTTCTTAATAAATGAAAGTTAAACAGAATTTCAGTGATCTGTAGTCAGAGGTGGGTTGAAAGAGTTAACTTGCAGTAAAACCATTCCTTCTGTGGTCCTCTGTTTCTGAGCCCCATTTTAAACGAAAGTAACTAGTTTTGTGTGGAGTAAATGAAAATGGTATGAGGGTGTCCTTGGCTGATCAGGAAACAAATGGAATCCAGAGTACCGGGTGGCAGCAGCTGGTGCAGAGAAAATGAACCTGATGAATAACATGAGCTAATTTTCTACCTTTTGTAGCTATTAGTGTAACTTCCAGTTGAGAAGACACAGTTTTGGATGATAGTATTCAAGAACTATGTATGGCCAGATAGGATGGAAAGGATAACTGACAGTGATGCTGCTCAAGTCATGAAATGAATGATGTTGAAAAGTGAAATCCTTTCTCTGTTGACAGGTCTGTCTTGATCCTGTCAGTGCTGTGTCTGTTGTGTTCTTCTGGTAGACTCTGGCCTTCTTTGGAGATGGTTTTACAGATCAGCAGAGAGGGAATTACTGAATCATCCAAGATTTTCAATGCTCCCAGCAGTGGTTGGATGCAAACTAAAAGCAGACAGCAATGGTTCTCATAATGTCTGTGCAACTGTGCTAAAAGCATGTTAATTGGTTCAGGTCAACCAAAACCTTTCAAACTTTGTATAGGAAACTTGGAAAGAGGAAAAAACAAGCTGTAATTTCTAAATCAGAAACTCTCAAAATATTTTGGTTTGGAAATATAAAAAGAAAATATTTTGCATGTCAGTGTACATTTTAAGAGGTTTGGTTGTGGTATTTAATGCTTAAATGAGGAAATCCAGTAGCTGGGTTTTACGTACTGAAAATCTTCAGCAGCTTCCAGGGAAAACTTGTGCATTGCTTTTTCAGTCTGAGTAGACAATGTAATCAGTAAGTATTCCATGAAATCAATTTGTAGCACTAATAGTGGAGGATGTAATTAACCAGTGAAGCATGACAATGAGTAAGTACCATGAGATTAAAACCCATAGGTGCTAGCACAGGCTCCAGAAATATTCTAATCCTTGTTTTGTACATTAATGTTGTAACTAAGAATGTTGCTTGTAGGGTCTCCTGCTTGAAAAGCTCAGAATGTAGAGCTTGTTTGCCTGTGCTCAGCTGTGTCATTCTTCCAAATTACCCATTTAGAAAAAAAACGAAGTGCTTTCCCTGAATGTAGGCAAAATTGGACAGAAGGAATATCACAAACATAAAGCATCTCTCAGGCTTTTTAAAGTCAACATATTTACAATGTTAATACGATTTTTAAATCCCAAAGTGATCTTTAGGGTTATTTTATTATTCCTCATTTCATTTCTCGGGCCAGACTGCTCTGCTGCATGCTTGGGACAGGCAGATGGTGGTTCAAGTATTCCTTCAGGAGTCCAGTACGCAGGAGAATAGGTTTGAGTTCAGCTCACAGCTCCGTAAGCAACTCACTGATGGAAGCTCTGGAGGAGACTGCAATTGGTGTTACATTTGTTCTTTTCTGATGTTAGGCCTTGGATTGTAAGCAAGTCGTACACAAATATAGTCTTTATGGCTTTTCCACTGGTGTGTTTCCTCAACAGCGTAATTTTGACTATTAAATTAATTCTATTCTTCTGCAAAATTTACCCTGCTGTTTTCTAATAGAGGCTTGTATTTTTCAATTTGATTTTTCTGAAGATATTTGCAATGTCTATCCTATCATCTTATTCTATACCAGAAAGCACTAGCTGCCTTTTTTCCAGAAGGCCCCATATGTTGGATCTCTGTCCTTTGTAAAGCTACAAATACATATGTTTAAAACATTCTGTTTTATCTCTATTAGATCGAGTAATTTTAGAATTATTTTTACCTGCATCCTTGTTATGTAGACAGGTTTGTTCATTATTATCCAGCTTGCTGTTTCATAGCAGGGTGGAATTGTCATTGACCCGTCATATGTAATGAAACTAGACGTCTCTGGATAAAGTTCCTCAATATTAAGCCCCTGTAGTAAGTATGCATCATCTGGAGAACAAAGAAGGAAAACAAGTGAGATAAAACAGTAGCTACACAAAAAAAACCCCACCCTTTTTATGTACAATCCTTACTCCAGAACATCACCATCAGTTTTACTGAAATACAAAGTATAATGAACATTTCTGAATGTTCCAGTGGTTTGGACAAGAACAAGTAACACGAATTCACTAATCCTGCTGAGGCTGAGCTCTACTGCAAGATGCCCATGTGCACCTTTGGTGAGTTTAGCACAAGCATTCACAGTGAAACTCTGAATCACGTTTAAGAACTAGAGTTAAAATCTTCTTGAAGTTGCAGTTCTTGGCTTAGATGCAGCAATCTTTGGAGCATGTTGACTTACCATATTTTGGAGTGATTAAAAATTTTTGCTCAACAAAGCCTTAGGAAGGCCAAGGGTGTTAAAACTTAATTGCCCTTCTACCATGGGAGGAAGTTAAGGTTAATGCATGATAATAAAGCTGCTCAATAAAGCCTGCTGGCGTTCCAGGTGCACAGTGGGGTGGATGCAGTGTAAGCTCGCTCAGAATGCTAAAATTGGGGTGGAAAATTATGCTGGAAAGCAGCTTATTAGGGTCTCTGCTTTTATCATAAGTGTCCCTGGGAATTAATGAGGTATCCCTCAGCAACACAATTCACTTGGTGGATATGTACCAAAATATAATGAGATACATGCTTATATCTTTTAAAATTCATCAAAGTTCCTCAGCCTTTTCTATACTATGTGCACTATTTCCCTTGGGCAGTGCTGACTCTACAATATTTTTGGCAGTGCTGTCAAAACTGGAGCTCAGATTTTCCAGCCCAATCTCAGGCTGTAGGAGTTCCTTACTCAAGGATATACACACACTTGACTCCTGATGCTACTGCTATCGTGTATCTCGGAGAAACCTGGGCTGGTTATGAGCTGTAATGTGGTGAAATCTCTTTGCATGCATTCACTTGCATGTAGTGTGTTCAGTGTGCTTCATTTGCAGAGCGAGCATTAAAATGCAGGCAAGGAAAGCTGCATATTTAGGTGTATTTCTCCTTTCAACACACAAGGCAAACTGAAAATGCACCTTTGAAGTCAATGTTAATAATGTAAGCGTTTCTGTTAGATCTTCTGATGTTTTTCATGTACCATTCACTGTAGGTTTAAATAGTTTTTGGTTTTATTTTTATTTTATTTATATAATTATTATTTCAAAAGCTGATAAATAGTTTCTTGGTCATTGGGAAAAGAATGTAAATGGAACTAAGGAAAGAAATAAGGACGATCAAGGAAGCACATAAGAACTGAAAAAGAAAAGAGTAATTTAACATTATTATAGCTGAAGGACAAAACGTAGGTGAACAAAATGCTTGTCTCACACTATCTAATGAAAAAATAAAAGGACTACAGACTACTGTCTTGGGCAACAGAAAATCAAAGAACACAGGCAAAGCAAATGTGACTTTTTTTGTTTTGACATAGTGCAGTCAACGTGCTCCAGGCTTCTGGGGTAGCAGTATCAGTGGCTACAGCATCAGTTAAAGTGTCAGGTTGAGAATGTAACATTTATACCATGTTGACGAGTGCCTTACAGTTATTTCATATTTAAAATGTGTTTGATATTTTACAAATTAGAACCTTGGCATGTCCTTTCAAGTTTGTCAGAAATGCAGCCTTCTGCCATGTTCTTGCACTCTGAGCCCGGGTAATTACCATGCCTTAGAGCTGGATCCTCAAGCAGAGGGCAAGTACTATCAGTGTCTTGTAGATGGCTGGCTGTCACCTTTTTAACATGCTCAGCCTTCACTGGCCCATGGCCTGGGATGTGGAGTCTTTCAAAACCCAACATTTTTCAGACAAAATTGCAAAACCATTGCTATAGTATTAGAGTCAAAATGCTGTTAAATTTTAATAGCTACAGATGATCAAATACACCTGTGTCCTATTAATTTAAAACACTGTTTGCAGTAGTAATTTTTTCAAGCCAGTGCCTGTTTTCAATGAGTCATCACACATTTTTTATTTTTTTCCCCTTTCCCATGTGAACATCCTGTTCATTATTTATGAACTATGGAGAGTGGTGTGTTAGCTCCAAATGGCACAGAGTCAGTCAGAATAGATAGTTTCAAACTCTAAGGACCCAATCTACTCTGTCACATCCATATTAACTTTAGTTGGGCTCAAATTATTTAAACAAGGTAGAATTTACACTGAAATGTTTACTAGGAGCTGGAAAGCTAACTGAAGATTAATACTAAAAATACAGATGAGGTATATGTATATATTCTGTGTGTGTCACATTCTGCTTGACTAGTTTATACTCAGAACAGTGCACAGATCATTAGCAATAGGACTACTTATCAAATGGAAGATACAGAAACAGATTTACTGCTTGCATTAGTGCAGGTAATCATGGGGGTTTTTGGAGTTGCCTCTCATTGCTTTAATAGAGAATGTAACTCATTATTTTGATACTGGCTTCTAACTTTTGTCTGTGGATTTACAGTGTTTAATCATTCTCAGAACATAATAAAGCTCTGGGGGTGTAGTGTGGCATGGAGCAGTGTGAAGCATGGTCCTTTTCCCCATTCAAATGAGCCTGACGTATGCCAGTGCTCTCGGGATTGGAAGAGGTGCTCTCCTTGGCCTTACTGGGCTTTGGATCAACTGCTGAGGTTACCTTGTTTGCATGCCAAGGACCTACAAAATGCATGGCCATCTCCCCCACCAGCACCTGGCAGTGAAGTGGCTCCAAATATGGTTCATGGCCTCTGTCTTCACTTGGAATATGTTTAAGAGAGACAGCTCATTATGCTAAGTATCAAAATCCATCAGTTGTAATTAACAGGAAACTAACACTTCAGGAAAATAGGAAGATGGAGGTGAATAAAATAATGAAATAAAAGTTTGGCCAAGTAAAAGCAGTATTTATTTATGCCTGTATCTGAGTTATATTCCTGTGGGAAGTCAGATGACTCCATGAGAGTGGCCTGAGAAAACACTTCAGAATAGGAATTTGGTTATCACCATTTTTCCCATGACCGCCTCTGTTGTTTCCCTTTCCCCACATCTTGATCGAGGTTTTCCATTCTGGAACTGAATCAGAACTGGTGGGTTTGCACTAATACCGTACTGCAACACTTTCATGTCTTATCTTGTCTTTTGTTATATTTATTGCAAGTATGTAGTTCAGAATAGTCAAAGTCACCACGTGTGATCTCTTGCCAGTAATAAACTTCCTTTCATAAACCTATTCAGACTTTACTAGATTCTCAGCATCGTTCCTATCTGCAGCCCACGTTCTGTTTATCTTGATCTGCTTGTGCCTTAGGGTGATTTCTTAACTCATGAACTCTTCTCCATACAAATTAGATTTCATATTCATTTACATAAAGGCCTTGACTCTGACAATTTTCTTAGCAAATGATGGAAATCCTCTTCTTTTATCCCCAGACTTGCAATAGGCGTGTGGGGTCTGCTTTCACAGCAAATTCTGTGTGTGTTCTCTTTAAACCAGTAGTATTCATGAGGAATATATTATTTACTCAATGAAGGAAGGTTTGTTTGATTTCTGAAGTTCATATCGTAATAATCCAAGAACAGAAAGTGCAGCTCTAACTTGATTAGATTACAGGGTAAGGAATGTAGAGGTCCTCAGCTTTTTAATCCTGAAACAGAGTTTCTCCATTTCCCAGCCTGCACAAGTCACTTGGCCCCAGGCAGGCAGAGACTCATTTTTGGATACCTGAGGTTGGTTGGTCCTCTGGGGCCTGATTTGAGACTGCTGAGCTCTTACTGCTTGTGACAGGAGCTGCAAGAGCTCAGTCCTTCAGAGAATGCAGTGAAACATGAACCTTGAGAAATTAGTAGTCTCTTATTTTGAGAAATCTGAATTTGAAGTTTTTTCAGGATAATTTCTTAAAATCAGAATACGTCATTAACTTGCACATTATCTATAAAATAGCTAAAGACTGAATTTAAGGAAATGCAGAATTTTACAGCTCTTCTACCTAGCTGAACATGCAGCAGTATTTTGGTGGAGAATGACAAGCCCAAATTGTCATATGGAATTTTGGGAATCAAAAATATTGCTACTTTCCAATGTTAAGCAAACACTGGGCAGAAGCTCACGTAGCATAACTGTTCTGAAAGCAAGCTACCTTATCCCCTCAAATGTCATGCTTGAGGAGGAATATTAAAGTGTTTTTCCTTTAGAGAAATTCATGTAGCTTCTGACTAAAGCCTGTTTGAAAGAACACTTGTTTCAACTAGTTCACAGTAGATTCTTTGGGCTGTGATAACAGAATAAAATAAGCATTTAAAATCTGCTTAAAAATTCCTTGGGGTCCACTTTACCTCAGTGTAGCCATTAATATCTAAGAGTAGAAATTTCCCTTTTAATGCATTTTGCTCATGGAAATTTCATGCAGCAGCACAGACAGCTCTTAATTTTGTTGCTGTTCTTTAGAAACAGTACTTTAGTTATGTTACTAACTGTCGTGACTCTGAACCTACACTCTGCTTATCATTCGCTCCCTGCTCCTGCTGAGCACACTAGGACTGGTCATTTTGGCAGCAGCCTGCTGAGTATTGGCTTCAGGAGTGGACCCCTAAAGCACAAGCTAAAAACCTCCAGCTGTTAAAGGCAGAATAGAAATCCTCGTCATGTAAGAGGTAAAATTAGGTTTCAGCAATGATGCTATAATCCATCATGCAAGACAACTGCAAAATTACTTTCAATAACACTTTCACATTCTCAATTTACACTAAAATATTCCCAGTCAATACTTGTTACTACAGTAAGTAACCCAGTGCCCTGCAAAATATTATGTGTGTTGTATCTACCAAGGATTTTATTTTTACAGATAAGCTTGTTAGTGATATCAGTGGTTAAAAATTAAAACAGTTCCATTACTCATTGATTTTGCAGTCTATGTTATGTGTTCATACTCATGAAATTTTATTTAGTAAACCCAAATTAGGTGTGATTGGAATTGCATTTTCCTTCTAAAGAGGCAAAACAACCAGTGAGAGGTTGTAGGATGCTGTGAGCTCCAGAGAAGAGGAGTGCTCACTTATAAGGGCAGTGTACAAATGAAATATATAGTACTGGGAAGGTATGCTTGTCTGCTGGTGTAGGCAATGGTTGCATGGTCACTCATGCGACAAGGAAAAGATCCCACCCTGTAGCCTCTCCTCTGCTCTGAGCCACCACAAGTTGTCCAGTCCTCGCTCTGCGGGCCAGCCATTGTAGCATGTGGGGCCAAGGAGTACAAAAAGGCTGTGACACTCATGTAAATGGATGAGATACAGCTGCTGTGGTGGGAAAAATAAGGCAAGGAGTCTTCTCTTATTTAGTGTGTGAGACCTGACAGGTCTGCGTGCGTACGTGGGGAAAAGCAGCTTCCTCAGTCAGGGATTTGCTGGCTGATCCCCAGGCAGAAGCCAGGAATGTGTAATTCAGGAGTGAAAGAGCCTGAAAAAGGACATATAGCCCTAACAATAATCTTCTGTCTCCAGGATGCTGCAGCAGCACTGGTAGGCAGGACGCTCTTACAGAACAGAATTGCTGTGTTTTTGCAAGGAATCAAGACAGGCAGTTTAAAAACTGGGCTAATCTCCTGCTTCTTCCATGCAGAGAAGGCGGCATTTCATACTGACAGAACAATCTGGAAAATCGTTCAGAGGAGAACCCTCTATCACTTTCCTTTAGAATAGATACCATGGATCTTTATAGGAGGCCTCTTATTTGAGCCAGAGATGTAACAAGACTTGTTAACTCTAAAGTAAAATTAAGGAAACATCAATGAGAAGAAAGATGTGTGCTATAGGAGAGGACAAGGAATTATCTACTTCAAAATAGGGTTGGATTGGCTCTGTTACTCAAATTCTGTATTGCATGGCAGGACTCGAAATCTTTCTTTACATTGATCTCATACCTCCACTTTTTACAATCCTGGCTTTGCAGGAAAGGGGAAAAGATGGAGTCCATAGAAAGAAATAGGACTGTGTACTTGAGAGACTTATATAGAAACCCTAGCAGAACTGGGAACCAAATCCTGGAGTCCTGACAACCAGTCTCATTCCAGTTAAGATCAACAACTCTCTCCCAATTTTCATAAACAAAAGCAAAACTAATGAAGTTTATGAAAAATGTTAAGTCATAGTTTACAGAACAACAAATGAAGGCTGAGGTTTAAAATACTTCCCTTATTTTTTCAGTTAGCTCTGTACTTTCTGCAAGTTAAATTCTGGTATTGTTTAACTTATTTTATTAACTTAATGGCTGCTTGGAATTCAATTGAATATTTGACAAAGGGAATAAGGTTTTCAGGAGGTTTAATTTGTTCCATTGAGATATATGTATTTTTCATGACTTTCTCTAAACTAGCCTAATTTTCACTGACATTTAAGCTCCATTTTCCACAAGTTCAATATACTAACATGGTATTATTGAACATTATCAGTTAAAGCCTTTCCAAATGTGAATACAACAAATATACATGCTGTGTTAATGACCTCTTTATATATCCATTAAATGCAGCAAAAGTTGAATAGAAATGTCATAACTTTTCTGTACAAAAAGAAAGCATTAATGAATACTAAATCTGAGTTAATGATGCCGCATCTTCACATAACTTGATTTGATACAATCCAGGCTGCTCTGCATGTCACTTGTAGTGCTAACTGCAGGCAGTTTCTCCTGAGATTCTGTGTGAATACAGTATATGTATTTGTTAAGTATAATTTCATTAATTTATTGCTTGTTTAAACATAAAATAGACTTTGGAGTTCAAAAAATTCATTTGATGACCCTACTAGATCTTTCAGGTTCCCAAGTTCATCATGCCGAGTTGCTGGCAACGCAAACTTTGTAATTTTTGCCTGTAATGAAGTGCCTCTTGTTTTACTGGATTGCTAAATGTGCTATTTGATACTAAAAGTATAGAGCTGTTAGCCATAGTAAATGAAAAGAAACTTACTTTTATACGTTATTCTCGTTATGGTGTCTCTGTTAAGCATACGATTTAGAAATGGATTTGATGATTCAGATACCTACAGAAGAGAAAATGTACAACGTCAGAAACTTCTCACAGACATTTCCTTTCTGGAAATTGATTTTATTTCCTCTTTGGAAATGCAGCTGTTCTGTGTGTGCGCGCACATGCGTACACACACACACACACACACACACACTCTCATTCTCTCTCCTGCCACTCCTCCAAAGGGTTTCTGCCTTTTCTTCACTGTTATGGGAAGAGGAAATACTTACTTAGATATTTCTCTAACAAAAATGGTTAGAAAGTTGGTACCTGAAAATAAATCCAAGAAAACAGGGATGGGAGAAGAGGATGAATAGAAATAAATGCCTGGATGTAAGTGTGAATATGGATTTCTTCTCCAACAGCTTTGGTAGGATTTGCAGGTGGTTAATATAACGAGGCAGGATTTTCATGTAGCATTCTATTATTTTTCTGTTTATTGAGAGAGATACTTTCCTGCAGCAGACTATTTAGGTTGCAAACAAAATCTGTCTTCCTTTTGGTAGGGAAGGTATGGGTATGAAATACCTAAATTTTACTCACATGCACTCTTAAGAATATGTAGAAGTTTTTGTAGCTACTTTGGACATTTAAAAGAAAACGCATCTTTTTGTGCCAGTGAGAGAGGTCTAGAGAAAAATACGGTGAGGCAGACACGAAATGCCATTGCTTCTTACAAGAGATGTGCCACTCAGCAAGTACGTGAGCGATGCATTGTTTGGACAGAATTGGCACGCTCAGCATTTTGAAGGTTTGCTTCAATTTTATCCTTTTGCGCAAATTCAAGTCAGATCAACGGGTAATACAATGCGTTTTGGATTAAAAAGGTAACCTAAATATTTTTCTTAAATATTAGGCTTGTATAAAAGGGCACTTTTCATATCTAATTATTCAATGTGCTCTGTGAAATGTGTATTTTAATTCTGAGTTTAATGGTTTGTCAGGAACTTTGTTATGAAATGCTATTAGAGAGTACTAAAGGTAATTAATAGATATGCAGTACGTACGGTCTGATGATGTAAGCTATTCATTTCAGCATGAAGCACTAATTCAGAAGTACATGGTTTTTTTAGACTGATGAAACAGAGATACATAATGGCAGAGTATGAACAACATTTCTGGGGGGAATGTGTTCTTCATATAAAATGAGAGAAAAGGTTTCTCCGATGTAATTAGGGAGGTTTGATTAAACTGTTAAGTCCTGAGTTCAAGGCTAGATCTCTGTAATTTATAGACCTAATTATGTACCTTGAATGCAACAGGATGGAGACTAAAATATGACAAAATATTCACGTCTTTCCAGCTCTGTGAAATGGAAGATATTAAGAGTTACCATTTTAATGTTCTTACAGTTTTGATAGTCTAAGATGTTTAAAACAATATTGTGAGGAAAAACTTTTTTTGCATCAGGATGTCTCCGAAGAGCAAGCATGCCCTCTTTCCCAGGCCCCAACCTACTGGGAGAGGTGTACTTTTAATTGAATGGATGACATCTCACAAAGAAATACCAAATCTGAAAAAATTAATAACTTCTACCATATTCGTTGAAGTGTCATGATGATGTTTATGATACAAGGATTTCCCCCTTCCCTTATCCGTTTTCATTTTCCTTACATTACATTGTATATGCCTTAGAGTAGTGTGTTCAGTTCCTAGGACAATGCTGTCTCTGGATTCCAGATCAGAGCCTCTTAGCACTGCTGTGGTATAATGAGGAGTCCAATTCCTAGATTTACAGTTCATAGGGAAATAAGTCCATTGTCTATATATTAGATATTGGTAATATTGAATACTTACTTTCATAAATATGGAAACTACCACCAACCCATTAGGACTCTTTGCAGCTTCTGTGACATTTGTGTACAGCTCGTGGTTATAGTGGATTAATTGAACCTAGAAAACAGGGAAGGGAAAGATGGCAATTAAACAGTAGCAAATCATACCCTACGCTGTTTGCAAATACTCTCCGTACACCAATTGGTTTGTATTAGGATCCCATCTATGCTTAGGATATTTTGGAAAAGTGCAATTTTTCAGAGGTTTGTAGCACGCATGATTTTAATAATTTTAGTCACCATCTGGCTCCAACTGGCGCAGCACCAGCATGTTTTCTTCTAAATTGCCAGTAAGTGAATTTACCCACATCAAGTTCTGAATTGCACTGCAGGGGTTGACATAATTTCCCTGTTGCAACAACATTTGCCATGGGCATCGAGTAATCTGTGCTTTTCAGCCTCAAGCCAAACACAGAGGACTCAGGGGTTGAAATATCTGAAGAAACATATGGGGTACAGCTTTGGAACTGTTTAAACCAGCACTTGCAGAATTCAAAATACTAATATTCATTGGCCCCAGATTTTCCAAACTTGGTTAGTAAAAGCTCCTACAGGTTGGCACTTACTGTATTATTGTTAACCAGGTTCTCCTTAGCTCCTACAGCTTTCCTTCTGCTTTTTAGTTTTACGATTTGCTGGGACTTCTAAATCATGAAGACAGTTCATCTTTCTCCCTGCATATGAATGTCTTACCCAAAACTATAGTATTGAATTTGTCTGGGACCACTAGACGTTGTTACCATTTATATTGCAATTTGTACCCTCACTTTTTTTTTTTTTTTTTCAAAAAGACGAACAACTTTAACAAACTCATGTGAAGCAGTTAAGTACTTCTAAGAGTCTGAAAGTCTAGGTAGCTTTATTTAGCCTGAAGATATCTATCTTAGTTTTCAGTTGTGGATGGTGCTTAGCAGTTGTCCTCCCACCACCCCCAAATTCCTTAGCAGTGCTGTTTTAGTGTTTGGACATTGATGTAATAAGAGGTAGTGAAAATTTTGAAG